TTATGTCGTCTGCACTTCTATAATGTATGGTATATAGTGGGCGCATACTGCTGCTCGACACACCTGGGGATGTTGTTCGTTTATTTCTGAGTTCTTCGTTTATTTCTGAGTTGTTCGTTTATTTCTGAGTTCGTATATATTTCTAAGTTGATCGTTTATTTCTGAGTTGATCGTTTATTTCTGAGTTGATTGTTTTACTTCTGAGTTGATGGTTTATTTTTGAGTTGTTCGTTTATTTCTGAGTTGTTCGTTTATTTCTGAGTTGTACGTTTATTTTTAAGTTGTTCGTTTATTTCTGAGTTGTACGTTTATTTTTAAGTTTTCGTTTAGTTTTGAGTTGTTCGTTTATTTCTGAGTTGTTCGTTTATTTCTGAGTTATATTTGTTTATTTCTGAATTGTTTGTTTATTTCTGAATTGTTCGTTTATTTCTTAGTTGTTCGTTTATTTCTGAGTTATATTCGTTTATTTCTGTGTGTTTTCGTTTAATTTGTGGTTTTGTTTTATTTTTGTTTTTGTCTTTTTTGCCCTAATGGCCGCCCATACTGCACACTTGTACGTGCGTCTAAAACTTCGTGGTAAGCTTCGCGCTGTGTGAGGAGGGCACACGTACAGGATCGCTGCAAGCATTACGCTGTGCACACATTACTGGACCAAGCCCAGTCTAATGTGGCTTTCGCCAACCCGGGATTCCCGGGTTCGTATTCATGAGCCCCCTACTAAGATAATGGCTATTTAATCAGTTGACGACCATAAATATGTTCGCACATACTAATAAAACAGGTGGGAGTGCAGTGGTTTGTCCTTGATAAACAGTCAGGCTATCCCCAATGTATGTGCGTCTGTTGTCCAGAGCCAGCCTGCCTCCCATCAGAATTTGAATGACGAGTGATGAGCCAGTTAAGTACTGGAAAGCTACCTACATCTAAGAAAGCCACATTAGACTGGGCTTGGTCCAGTAATGAGAGTGGAATGGATTGGTTAGGAAAGAAGTAAACTACGCAATTTGCGGGAACGCAACAATATGTTTAATTTCCCAACCCAATCCTGTCAAACCTGACAGAGTGGACATTACACTTTGACGAAAACACCCAAACCCGTACATACTGTGCGGGGATCTCCCCGGGCCAAACCTAAGTTCGTTGGGACCAAGTATGACACCTATTAGAGTGTAGCTGATCTTCCCGAACGCAAGCTTTCCCAAGACGAGAGACCACTCAGAGCGACCTCAAGGCCTGGGGAGCAGGTCCGTTTTGGAGGAAATATACCGCCGATTATGATGATTGTGATTACCCACTGTTAATTGCACAATAAACCAACAACAAATACACATGGACAACAGGAATGTCGGCACCACAAATATAATCGTAATTTATTATACAATAATCAAGAAATAGGCAGTAGTGATTGAGTCGTAATGAGGTTGTTAATTATCAGGGTCACTTAATTACACTTGGGAGTTAACTGACAGCTCAACTAAGCAGCAACGCGCACAGCTTGAACAATGCGCCCAATGTAAACAATGCACTGCTAAGTCAACAATGTACACTAATGTAAACAATGCACGGCAAGTCAGCAACGTTCACTCAGTAAACAATGTACACTAAGTAAATAACACACGCCAATGTAAATAACACACGCCAATGTAAGCAATGCACGCCAATGTAAGTAATACACGCTGTCAGCCTTAACCTGATTTACGCCTTACCCATGCAAGCTAGCGTCAGCATCGTACCGTACATTCACTTGTACGGCTGAGCGTCAGCATCACACAGCGTAACTTCAGCACAGTCAGGGCCAGCGCCTTACACAGTGCGCGTCAGCATTACCCAAAACACAGAACGCGAGCAATACACGACCGTACCGTCCGCTGTCCACAGCACAACTCTCTTCGCGCGATCACGTGAATAGCCCTCACGTGAACATGCATACGCCGCACAAACACAAATGCATGCACTAAACTTATGGGCCTTAGGCAACCAATATCGTACGCGCATTCAGCCACTGGGCTATTATGCTCCGCCCAGTCACCAAAACACAGTGAATTTACGTTAGTGCAATAGGGATGACGTTGTAAATAAACTAGCTATAAGTCCCTACACTTTCCGCTACAATACTTACGGGCATTGTCAGTTTATAAGAAAGAGCGTCGCTGAATGGGGTGATGAGCCACCATTTTCCTTATCCTATCTTCGATCTCGTGCGCACGGGACCGTAAAGCATTTTTTTAAAGTTTTTCTTTTGTACCCCCCCCCCCCCCCGCCAAAAAAACCACTTACTTTGACCAGAAAGTAATAATAATAGATTTCAGGGACTTTTTCAAAGAAAAGCGGGACAAATAACTGATTATTTGGGGACTGGACCATATAGTTTGGGGAGGTCAGGTACCGAGTTGGTGAGGTGCCGTGTTGGAAGTCGGGAGAAGGAGGCAAAATTAGGGTGCCGAGTTGACATTCACACGCCGGAGGAGACCTTCGCTCGTCCGGCGGGCGGCGCGGGGGGTGGGTACGAGCGAAAGTGAGACCGTGACACCAGCTGCGCCCGTACTGCGCATGCGTTGTGTCGTAGCAACATTCAGGGTGACCGTTTTAGCCGAATTTCGGCTAAATTTGACAGAATTTTGTTAACAAAACAAGTTTGTCAGAAAATTTGACAGAATGGATTTTTTCGGCAGATTTCTGGCAGAATTCTCCAAAAAAATGTTTTTTAACAGGAAAAAAAATAGCAAATTTGAAAAAAAAAGGTACATTTTGTTTAAAAAAGGAAAATGTTGCCAATCTATTCAAGCAAACCCTTCCATAAATGCCATAATGGGACATGCAGGTTGCCTGCTGCTGAGGTTCACTTGGAACCAGATTTTGCCTGAAATTTACGCAACTTCATGACATCTTTATGTGACTACAAATTGTTTACAATGTAATTTGATCCTTAATTAAGGCAATACTACACATCTGCATGTGATTTTAAGTGTTTATAGTGTATTTCGAGTGATTCTGGGGAATTTGGCAGATTTTTTATTAATCTGACAGATTTTTGAAGTGCATTTAGCAGAATTTGGGCATGACCTTACGGTCACCCTGGCAACATTTTTCAGCATTATTATATCATGACATGCAAGATGGCGGCCTGCAGTGCTCGTGTTCAGGAAATGCAAGTTTGAATCATGTTTCTGGAGATGTTTTCATAGCCACAGGTATATTATTGACCATCGTTTTTTTGGTGGATTGAGAGGTTTAGGACCCCGTTCCCAAAAGAGAACGAAAATCCACTAGGTCACTGCGCTGGACAGCACTAGCTAGGGCCTAGCTCTAGTGACTGTAGCCCGACTGCGTCTGGCCGTACTGTACTATCGCAAGCTCTGTAGTACGGCCAGACGCCCGATGCTTCCACAGAGACTGAATTTTGTTGGCCGCCGATGTAGCGATTTTGCTACATCTTTCGATCGCAATTATCTTTTCATCCAGGACACAAATTTCCAAAGTTAAGGTTCGTAGTCGTAGAGCAACTCATATCTTTTCGAAAAAACGTTGTTTGGTCTCTCAATATTTTCATCCATCTGGCCACAAGACGAATTTCAGTCATCAGATTCACAAATATCGTCCCCCATGCGATCCCCCATGCGATTTCAAAATGGCGGCCGCGCTGTAATGAATGCAATAT